TATGCTTGTATTATTGAATAAAGCAAAAAGGCAAATAAAAGCATAAAAAAAAACTCGATGATGTTTCTTGGCACCAATTGAGGTTTTTTTTCTCCCCTCTTGAGAAAACTCTTCTCTTATAGGAAGTTAGAGTATTTAAAATCTAATTAGAGACCCTTACAGCTGCATTTAATGGAAAATTCTTGTAAGTTCACTTATTCCCTGCATACATCATTAAAGACAAACACTTTTAATGACTTAAAACGATCTTGATGTTTCTAGTATGCAGAGTGATGTATGTGGAGCCCCATAATTTGTGGTTAAATTACGGTTTTCGCATCTAGAATTACCGAGTACTTGACGCCGATTATTAATTTCATTAATAGCCTGACTTAAGTTTAGCGTAGAATCAGGAAAAATTCCCAACACATTTTTGGGATTAGGTCAGTGAATTTTTAATTGCCGTAAGCTTTCTGTTATAAACTTACATTAAAGTACTTCAGGTAATACCGCACTTATTTGAATGTTCTTATTCTTTTAAAAAGCATGATTAAAACATGTATATAAATTGCTTGAAAAAAGAAATATTACTAATAATTATTTAAAAAAAAAACAATTCTTCCAACTTTGCAAGTTTTTATTAATGTGAAAAAAATCAGCGCATTTAGTTTTAATGATCGGACCTTCACCTTCTAGTACTCGATTTTAACGGTACGAGGGGATGATCTCAAGTATTCTAATTAATTTGAGCAGGCGGTATTTCAAATTACGAAATCTGACACAAAAAGTACTTTCTTCGGAATACCTTTGTTTCGACGGATTTGGATTCCTGACCCCCAAAATATGGGGGGTAGGCTCAATCTGGGATCAAAGAAAGCACGTTTTTGTGTCTGATTTCGTAATTTAAAATACCGTCTGCACTAATTAATTAGTATATTTGAGGTCATCCCCTCAAACCATTCAGATTGAGATCTAGAACGTGAAGATCCGACAATTAGATCAAAAGTTATTGAGGATGGTCTGTTTTTTATTTTGCACACTGCACAATAACCATTCTGTTCATCCACTTTAAATTCAATTATTTTAGCTGGTATTGTTTGCTTCATAAGCTCAAATGATTAATTTATTAAATTACATAAGATATGATTTGCATGCAGAGTATAATGCTATACTGCTTCTAACTAAGAAAAGAAACACTAGAATGCGCAAGAAACGCAAGAAACGAATGCAGCATCATTATGCCAGGCATATTTGCGAGGCATCTAAATACTTATTCAGTGAAATTCAAATCTGGGACGGTCCCGCAGTGGACTGATCGTTCCCAGCAGATCACCGAAGTCAAGCATCACTGGTTGCGGTCAGTGTGCGGGTGGGTGACCACTTGAATCAGTCTGACCACTGGATCAGAGACCGAAGATGTGCGGTATTGGTCCTCGTTAAACTGTTCTACCGTAAAGTGCTCGACTTCGCGTGCAGGTCGTTGGGCTACCGAGCGGGGGTGCGATCCCCTCTGCAGAGGATCAGAATTGTGATGGCATGTCCTCGAATCATCCTCAGGGATGTTTCCCAGACCGTCACCAATAGCACATTGTGCTGCTCTAGTGCGATGTAAATGAACTACAACAACAAATTTGAGATTGAGTTTTTTTTTAACATTTCATTAGAATGTAACTTAGTAAAGCAGTCAAAGAAACTAAAATCCTTGAATTAAAGTAATAGATTGTTTTTGAAATTTTGTAATTGAACAGCATTTTCGAATGCTTGTTGTTTTACTACACAAAAATGTAGGGTCTGATGTGAAATATCTGCCGCTTTTTCGATTCCTTTTGAAGTTTCAACAATTTATCTTGAAGTTTTGTGTCATTTATTAAATAAGAGCATAATTTGCAGGAATTTAGGTACGCAATTTTTTAAAGTTATTTTGCCTTAATTCACCTAAGCAATTAGTTTTTTTGCATTTGCTATTGTCTTTTTTTATATCCATGATGAAAATATGAGTCTTTGTTTAGATTTGTAAAGTTAAATGCTAAAAATATGTTTGAGAATAATTGGTCTATGCCTAGTTGCAACCTCACTATTAAATTAATTGTCATTGATTTGGTTCATAGCTTATCTATTTTTGGTGATTGTGTTTCTAATTTCAATATTCATCCAAATGTAAATTTGTTAAGACTTTTGTAACATGTAGTATAAAATATGAGAAGAGAGGGATTTCTGAACAAATCTCTTATGAAATGAACCAGTCATGTTACTTAATTCATACATACTTATGTGTTAAAATGCTGTCTTAACAGGATCTATATGGGTGATTTTCAGATTTAAGGCATTTTTGAAGTTAAATTCGTTTTAAAAATAAAATTAAAACTGATCATTCTTGGTGAATAACATTGATTCTTGTATCTGACTAGAACGTGCTTTAATATTCAGTGTCAAGATCTAATTAAAATTTAGATTGGGAGGATTATTTAAGTCATCATTAACCCAAAAAATACAATAACAGGCAGTGGATAATACTGTTAACAGGTAACAGAACGTACAAGTAACAGACCGGACAATTGTACTAAATTATTTTTTTACAACCATGTGCAAACCTTTTAGGCTTAAGACATCAAAGCTCGAATGTTTACTGGTCATAAACTCTGTACATGGCAAGCAATTAATAAATCTTACTGATTAATTTTAGAAAACTTCGCAGCAGACTGAACTATAAAACAATACTCACATTTTGAAAACCCAAAAATCTTAACTATTATATCATTTCACGATTGTTTGTTAAAACGTTTATCCTCTTATACTGAATCATGAAAGCATTATTAAAATTTGGTAGTATCATCTACTGAGTCACTTCAAAAATGATTATCTTTGGTCTTGGACAACATAAAACAGCTCTTACATCGGACATACAAAATGCCTAAAATTTTATAATCCACCCATATAGCATTATAAATTATTACCTATTTCTATTTACGTGTGTATATTTTTTAGAATTTAATTATTATTTAGAGTCTAATTAATTAGAACCTAGTTATAGTTATATTCTTGAAAAGAATGTACGAAAATATAGATCTACATTTTACTTTAATATGTAATAATATGCAGTGCATTTAGAGAAAAATAACTAGTCCTTTTTTAATAAAAATCGAGTTTTTTTATGAAATCAAAAATTTTAGTCCTCTCTAATTTAATTAGCATTAAATTACATTCATTTCGGTGCCTTCAGCTTATTTTCTATCATTAACCGTAAAAAATGAACTTAAAGGTAAAAAAGGTAATTTAAATATTTCTGCAATTTAAATTTGTTTTGTGATCGAATGTCTGAGCCATGTTGATGAGATATCGAATCGAGAATGCAAACAAATATATGAGTTAAAATTCAAATTGATTTCTAAAAATCAATTAATTGCATTCCTTTTTTTAAATAAAATTTTAAATGATTTGGTATATATATAAGAATAATATGAAAAAATACATAGATAAAAACTGAAGTTTGTTATCATATTTATAGATACGTCCAAAAAATTTTTTAGGCCGTTTCAAAAAGAAAAATACCTTACCTTATAAATTATTAGTTAGAAATTATACATATGCCATTGGCTGCAGTTAATTTTCAAGCACTACCTTTTGAAAATGGTTAAATTACGTGGAAACTCAGTTTCAAATTTTTCGTCATGTCTGTATCAAAGATAATATTCCCATGTCACATAAATATTTGGAATTTTACACTGTTTTCCAAATATTAAATACCTTGAAAAGGCACTTAAATTCTAATTAAAACTTCCGAAAGCAACTTCTTAATGAACATAACTCCCCTGGTCTTAGAGTTTATTATCAAAGCTAGGACATCAGTCTGATAGTCGTGGAGGCTTTCATTAAAAATTGAAACTTCTTAAATAATTCGCGAGTTTTATTTCTTTCTTGTGCCTGTCTGATTTAGAAAAGATTGATTAGATGTAAGAATCTCTTGCACTACCGGGATTTTATTCAGCCTAGGGAGAAGTTCAAATAAAATATTAATAAATAAAATTAAAGATAACGTGCATTTCATAAAATTGAAATTCTCTGAAGTTCTGAAAATGAATTTTGGGGTCACATAATGGGATGCAGAATAGTATCAAAAAACAAAGATTAGCTTAAAATTCAAATAATTTTTTTTCTAAAGGTGAATTAGAAGAAATTATCAATAAGTAAAGAAAATTGTAAAGAGAAAATTAATAAAATGCATTTTAGACGGATTTATAATTTGAATTTCAATAAAAGTTTGCAATTAAACTAGCCAAACCTGTTTGACTGCCAGAGGAAACAACTTGTCTTCCTCTCTGTGGGGTTCGACAGATTATACTTTTGCAGTTTCGTTTCTGCCTCACTTATATATTACTTGCAACCCTTAATATTTAAATATTTTTACCATTGATCTTAAAAAAGATTAAAAGTATGCATGAAGAGTAGTATTTACGGCATGCACTGTATCTATACTTCTTAATCAAACGTTTGACTTTTGGTTATTGACTTTTACCAATCATACCAAGTGATTTCTAATCCGAGATATCTTGAAAATTAAACTAAATATACAAGAAAAATATTATATAAGTTTTTTTGCTGCAATTTCTGTTAAGAAAATTATTTTAAAATTAATGTCTCATGTTTTTGAAATTTAAAGGAATTAATATTTTAAAAAAAAACCCTCATCAGTTATATATTTAGAAGCAAATAATCACATTAGCTCTTAAACAAAATTTAATTTTAGAATTGATAAACAAAATAACGATATTTCCGAAATAATGATTATGGGTATGTAATATATATTATAACAGACATTTTACGCTTTTTTATCAGTCTATTATGTTTTAATGTCTAGACTTCTCTAATATGAATAAATAAAAGCTATGTTCAGTAACTCTTATCGATTTCTCTTTAAAAATAATATTTATAGCAAAATGAAAGTAAGCAACATAGTATTTAGGATTTGGCATTTATCTAAATTGTATCTAAGATGTAATAAGAATTCTATTTTCTATTAACAGGGAAAATTGATCTTCAATGCACGAAAGTTTTGATAGAAAACGCAGTAGGGAAGCTACACGTAATAAGGTAATTCCAAAATATATAATTTTCCTTATAACTATTTCTTTACTCACATTTCTACTACTAATTTTTTATTTGATATTAATTCGATTATCTTAAAATGATTGCTTTATAACTTTCTTTTCATTTGAAATATTTTCATTAGATATTCAAAACGGAAACTTTGAAAACGTTTCGTATGTGTGTGTGAAATGAATTGTTTAAAAAAAGTAGCATTTTATTGAAGGAAAAGAAATGGATTTAAATATATAAAAATATCAAATTAAGCATACCATATAGAAACCATATTATCTTTAAATTTAATAATTATAATGTATAAATAATTATTATTTATCTTATTTGAAATTATTATTTACCTTATTGGTCAATATTATTTAATTATTTTATTAGTAAATATTATTTACCTTATTGGTAAATTATTATTTATCTTATTTGGAATATGAAATATATGTTTTTAAAGTGACATATTTAAAAAGTACAAATTTTGAATAAACTTATTATTTCCCAACATTTTCAGCAAATTGGCACATTTCACCTAGAATAGAATTAATTTTATATTTTTTAAATTTTTTGAGTGTCAAATAATGCATACCGATTAAATTTTTTTAATAAAAATCACAGAAAAAAAATTACAAAAAAATTTAAAAGAAAACATTAAACGTAGTGGATTAGTGTCAAAAGTACAAAACAAAACAATCTCTTTACTTCGAAATAACTAAAAGTTTTGATTTTTTTTCAAGTGCTATTTCAGTGAAATGCTTCAATGGTGCTATTGTTAGAGAATAGAGTTTATAAGTCTTATAAGTTCGAGTTTATAAATTTTAAAACGATTAGAGTCACATATTTTATATCGAACAATATATATTTACTACATGATTCCAACAAAGATAGTTAAAAGCAGCAGATGTAGTGTCTTCTTTTTTTTTGTTCCATTTATTCAAAACTGTTACTCGTATAAAACAATTTTTTTCGAGTTTTTATTTAATACTGACCTGAGCACTACCGGGAAATAATTAAATAGCTAAATCTTTGCCATCTTTTTCATTTGGTGCACTTTAAATATAAACAATTTTTTTTAATTGTCTTGAATACTATAAGATATTTTTCTTCATTTTTTATCAATACTACAAAAAAGGAGATGGAAATTGTGTAAAACTAAAGAGTTAACATTGTTCAGAAATACTCTTGTTGAACTATTTGATTCGAGAATATATGAGAATATATGAGCTTTACATGAGTACTAATGCATCATTGCGAACGAAAGCCACAGTTAAATGATTATTCAAATGATTTTTTAATTGTTTAAAATCAACCACTTAATGACAATAGTAGTGTAAAACGAGCAATTAATTGTAACACTCTAAAAACAAATGAATCCAAATCTATTAGATATTTACTACTATTTTCAGTCATTGTGACTTCTAAATGTATTTATATTATCTAAAGTGAAAAGGTTGAAGGAATTAAAAAAATATCTGAATTGTTTGTTTAATTTTTCATTGTTTGGTGAGATATAAATTTTTAGTAAAAAATTTAATCAATGGGTATGAAAAAATTACTATATTACGGAGAAGATAAAATTATTTACAAAAATAGTTTAAAAATTAAACAAGTAGTAGAATGGAAACTGTAAAAAACTTTCGTCTGCACTCCCCGTGAATTTCACAGCAATAGAAATGAAGTTTCTTTTTGACTAATAGAAAAAAAATATCTGTTTCTCAAAAAAGTAACACAAATAACGGTGGTTCTAGGTACCCTGCTTTTACCTCACTTACTCCTGATTGTTGAATTCGTTTTGAAAAGCTGGAATGTTTGAGAGGACCTGTACATAATCAAGTAAAACCCACTTAATTAAATGCATGTGAAAACAACGAAACCTTTAAATGGTTCTTTTAACGTTAGGAAATTTTAATTACATAATAGCTGATTTCTCAGTTATCTTCATTGAAAACTAAAAAAACTTAGTTTTTGAGTTGTAAAGTTTGTTTTCTTTGTTTCGAAAACCAAATTATTATAAAAAAAGCTTTTTCTTAAAAAAATCGCATTTACTTTACAAGAAAGGTAAGCTTTGGTCTTTATTTGAAAATTATAAATTGCATTCATCCTCCAATAAGTCAATTAGTTTGTTTAAAAAAGCTGTTGTGACATGTAATTAATTACTATTACAGTATTGAAATGTTAAGTATTTCAGTAAAGTTATGCAGGCAAATTCTTACGTTTGTAACTGCATGGTTTCATATCAACGAGTTACCAAATATTTAAAACCTAGAAATTTCTAAAATAAAATTACATTGTATGAAATAACTTTGCTTATATCTTGCATACCATTTAAATTTGTTAAAAAAATAGCGATTTTTTTTAGCATAGTATTGTACAAAATAAAAAAACAAAACAAATAAGCAACACATTTTTCCCTTTATATTTATTTGTGCGGCCTGTATCTACATATGTATAAATGATATTTCAGTTTAGATAAAATGTATACATACGATTAAATAAAACATATAGTTAAAAAAAGTAGGTAGTTGGGGAATACGAAATGATTTTCCTTATTTATAATATATCTTATGCTTTTCATCTCTAATAAAAAATCTACGCAAAATCTGTATTTTTAACCTGTTTTAGGTTATCAAAAATAGTTAAAATGAAAATTAAATGTCATACTATTGACAAATATTGGCAAAATTTGCCAATAGTATGACATTTAATTTTCATAAATATTGTCATAAATTTTGACAAAAAAAAATCAAAATTAAAGTAATCTTAATCTAATGTATTATGAAAATAATGAAAATCGTATAATATAATGTAAAAATAGAAGTAAATTATATAAACTGTTAGAATTCGCTGTTGCAAAGTGTTTCTCAAATAACCAGATGAATAAAATAATTTTAAAAATTAAATAACTGAAAGATGGTTCCATGCGTTCTCTTTATGAAACTAATTTTCTTCCTACTAAGTTTAGAAATTAGGTGCAAATTCAGTAAAAGATATTCTGATAACCAGAGAAGAATTATAAAACAATGTTATCAGAATAATCACAATTTATAGCACAACGTTATGCAATTTCGACGACAAATTATTTCATTTGGAATGATCTGAGATGAGCAGGAAACATTGATTTTATAGTTTTCATAGTGAATAATGCCATCTCTTGACGAAGTTAGTAACTTATTGAGAAACTTGCTAAGAATAGTTCCCTAAGCAGAAAGTCATACATTTCTATAATTTTTTACCTTTTTTTTACATGGTTTTTTAAATCTTCCCTCTTTTTTATAACGCCTGTTAGTTTCTATTTTCCAAGATGTTTTAAAATATCAGCCCAATACTTAACACTTGAAAAGATGTGAGATAATTAGAACAATTTACACTAAATTTTTTTTAACTTACACTTGGCATAGTGTCAATCGCTCAATGATAAAAGGTATTTTAGGTTCTTTACATTCTGGAACTGAAAGAAGTTGGATAGACATTTTAAAACTTCATAAACAAACTCTATAACTAATATGACTCACTATAACTAATATAACTAATAACCCAATAACAAATATTTGTGATATTTACGACACATAATTTTTTCGGATATTTATAAACATTGATACCAAAGTTAAAATTCTCATGAACAAAATAAAAATAAATTTGTTTTAAAAGAATTGCCCTCCGGATATATCATTCTATTTAATTACAATTAAAAGTTCATTACGCAAACTATGATGTGTCATCGATTTGAAGGCCAATTTAATTACGTCCTCTTATTTCAGCCTGCAGACTGGAATTCGAATTTAATTCGCCTTCTTAACTCCCTTTATTGGCGCACTCTGCAAGCCGATTTAAAGGAGTCTCTCGATAAAGCCAAAACTTTAGCCCAACTTGTTAGCCAAGTCGACATGCAAGTTGAATGCTTAAAGTAAGGTGCTGTCAAAAGATGGCGACTCCCCTTCAGGCACACTCGTTAGAATACTAGGAAGTCTATTCCAAAAGTGTAATTTGTGTAAATTGGAAACGGTCTTCCTCGTGTCTGAAAAGGGCATTCAGAAGAGATATTTGTCGCTTACTTGATTAAAGTATTCGGTATAGCCGGTCTACGAAAAATTAAATTTCGAAACTTTCGTATAATATTATGATACTTATAATGAGAATTTCTTAATATCATCCGGCTAAGTTTATTTATTTCTTAATTAAAAGTGAAAATATATACTTCATATTCAGGTAGTAGTTATGAATATTGTTCTTAAAATAAATTAGTTTAGCTACTTAACGATTTTTTTTGTTTAATTTTGAATGATTTTCCTTTGTACTATTGTAAAAAAAAGTTTTCAAGAGAGAGTCATTCCTATTTTGTCTTAAAATAATTAGGAAAAATAGGAAAAAGTGTGCCTGCAGTAAAGGTTATTCCTATTTCATCTTAAAAAAATAGAAATGACTTTTACTGCAGACGCACTTTGCAAGTTGATTTATAGAGTCTTTTGATAAAGACAAAACTTCGCCTCAACTTGTTAGCCAAGTCGGCATGCAAGTTTAATGCTTAAGAGTAAGGTGCTGTAAAATCTGGTGACTTCCCATCAGGCACACTTATTAGAATTCCAGGAAACCTATTCCAGAAGTATAATTTGTGTAAATTGGAAACGGTGTAATTTTGTGTAATTTTTTTGTGTAATTTTTGCACATTTCACCATACTTCGGGAATTTTTAAGCGAATTGAAAAATTTTTGCATCTAATTATAAAATTCGTTTATCCAAAGATGCAAAAAATAGGTTTTAGTAAATATTTTTTTAAATTATTTTATAAAATAACAATAAAAAAATTGTGAATATCAAGGTATACAGTTTTTAACATCATTTTAATAAAAGCAATTATCATGGAAAAATACACATTTTGAGCGAAATCTGTCGAATAGTTCATTCGATCAAAGGTTTTTCAGGGTGGTTCATTTTTTATTTTGCTCACTGTACTGCAAAATGGAACTTTAACTTAAATATTCGCAAACCAACACTATAAAATAAAG